AATGGAGATACAAGGTTTTTTTCCGACAACAGTGATATTCTGATTAATATACATTTTATATATTGGGGTTGGAAAGCTCATCAACACAGAACTGTAGTAAATTAATTGTCTTTCATTGAGTTACCAGACTTTCATGCAACTGCTAAAACTAGTACCTCCATCTGTTACAAGTAACCACATATATGGGATTAGTTGTAAAGTTTGCTGGTGGAATTGGTAGGTAGGTTGCTTGTATAAGAAATATTAATCCTGATCAAATACTTCTAAAATTATCAAGCCAAAACCAGGTTGTTAGGTTGAGCTCCACTCTCCCCTACCCATATCATCTGCTCACTGTAAAGGGAATACATGCATGTCAGTGGTAGTGCTCAGTGCTGCCTCTTAGTGGCATGGACCTGCAGATGGGTCTGAAGCAGGTGGATGTGCACTACCATTCACACATTTGGCAACACTGTATTAATAATATAGAACCGGTTTGGTCGCTGACAATGTGAAATGATTCTAATATACTAGATCAACATCACAGGTTTTAAAGGAGATATTGTGCTATCTTTCCTGTTAAATGTACTTCCCTGTGCTCATTGAAAGACAACTGTGAAGAATATAAAAAGATTACACCTTATTATTATTTTTTTGTCTTTGTATGATGTGTTTTACCTGTTGTCTACTCCTCTGTGAAGTAAAGGCCATTGTCTGGGTGTTCATTTTGTACGCTGTTGACCACTGCTTTCACTGGCTGTCGCAGTAGACATGTTGGAGAGCTCACACAGATCTATATGTCTCTCCCCATTTAAGTAGACATTTGTTAGCACTGGGAGCCAGATATAGTCACGAAATCATGAGCATGTGAACCAAGCATGTCACTACACTTAATGTTCAATGCAGAAAGCTGCCTGTAAGTAGCAGAGGTTGGTAGTAACTAATTACATTTACTCAAGTACATGCACTCAAGTAGGATATTAATGGATTTGTACTCTGCTGAGTCTTTTCAAATTGTAATACTTTTACTTCTACTCAAGTGTATTAGTGAGTAAAGGAATCTCAGTTTTACTCAGTTACATTTTAAATATTCATATTTTGTTAATAATTCCTTTTTTTTTGTTTAATTTCATTCTGTTTTATTGTTGACAACATCTGAACTGTTTTGTGATCGGTCACATATCTGACTTTGGAGTTTAAGCATTTTATTTTTGGCCAGAGGAAAATACAGCACTTCCTGTGCTGACAGTTGCTGGATGTTCTAAGAAGTTCCACTGCTTTACTTTTACTTTTACTTTTACTCATGTTACTATTTTAGTCATCAATACGTTTACTTGAGTGTTGATTTAAGCGACTCTACCCACCTCTGGTAGGTAGGCTTTCTTTACTTGTTTTGCCAGCGCTAAGCTAATGATAAGTTCTGCTAGCCTGATACTGGGGATTTCAATGTTGTGTTGGCTTCAAGCTAATAGTGGTTTAAATTTATATTTCATAGCAACTTTCTACATTAAATAGACATTTGAAGTTATAACTTTGAATATTGCTTAATTACTCTGGATGTTGACTGCTTCAGTAAAGATTTAAACCCTAACTCTCTCTCTCTGAATATTACTGGAGCCTGTTAGCTTAGCTATACACCAACTTAACCCAGTTAGCCCACAGAAAGCCTGTTAACATTAATAAAAAAGAGTCAGTCAGTAACAGAAATATAATTTCTTTCATGTGTGATGTTACATTGCCGTTCGCTCTCCTGTTAACAGATGCAGAGATATTACAAAACAGGAGACGGTTCACTTGTTGAAAAATGAATGTGAAAGCTCATAATGCTTAGCATAGCATCTGTTTATGGGGAAAATCACACCCTTCAATAAAAAGAGCCAGTTGGCTCCTTGTGGAGATCTGTGCATGTGAGGAGGCCAGAACAGGCCAACAAAAACACATTCATTATTGGAGCCAAACACTACAGAATATTGATGTGATTTCTGTCAGATTTTACCAGTGATTTCAAACTTGTTTTTGAAACATTAATTTGGCTTTCAGTTTCAGGTTTATATTCTCCGCCCCCGTTCAAGTGGAGTTTGGTCTCGACTAGAAATAACTGTTCAAAGTTGATACTGTCAAAAGTTGATGTCAGATTCTGGCAGGGGCAACTTCTCACATGTAGAACTGTAAATGTTAAAAGTTGATGCTGCACAAACTTTTAATCTAACAACTTGCTATTTAAATCAGCAGATCAGTGTCTTCTCACTTGTAAAAATGTCTTAACACTGTACATTGTTTTACTTTGCTAACATGACTACAATACACAAGTCTCTTAACTTAATGACTGAGAAGTCTGAATTTAGCTTGACTGCTTCATATTAACTGATCATAATCTTAAAGGAAACTGAAGTTTTGATGATGTAGTATGTGAGCATTCTTAAACTTTCAATGTGTAATGTTCACTCTCCAGTCCATACTGTCCATAAATGGAAACTAAGCTACAACAAACCTCACTGTTTTTGTGCTGTCATGCAGACCATTACATTTACATATAACCACCTTCTCGGCCTAGTTTAGCCCCACATATATTAAACCTATAAGGACTTCAACTTCTTTCTGAATGATGCAGGGCTCATTTACATATATCAGTATGAACAGGCCTGTTTAATTCTAAGGGACAAAGAGAAGTTTGTTGATGACTGATTTTGGTATATGAAACCACACAAATGTCATAAATGGACCTCAGTAAAAAATAAAATAAAATAATAAAATAAAATAATACAGATATTGTGGGATATGGGCTCTTCAAGGCTGATAATTTGACAAGAAATGAATGCAAATAGATAATTATAAGATATCTTTTATATATTATAAGGTCCTGCTGCCTCAGCAGGGTAGCTAACATACTAAAAGACCCATCGCATCCTGTTCCCCTTAGGGCAGACGCTACAAGTCCATCACATCATGGACAAACAGACTTAAGAACAGCTTCTACCCCAGTGCAGTAAGAGAACTGAACACTGCCCAACACTGACATTGTCCAGGTACTAACAACACAGAAACTGAGCATTTATCCACATCTATGAAAATTATACTTAAAGAATATTAAAAGATGTTTACATTCTTTGGCACTTTTATATTTATTAATAAAACTGCACTATTTATAAAAAGAATCAGCATCATCCATAAATGTGCAATACCCTCATATGGAATATCATAGCTGCTACATTCTTTTATATTCACCCTTTTTTATTTATTTATTTTTTTTTGTAATTTGAAACTATATAATTTTAAGTTACAAAGTCTTTTCATTTTTAATATCTTGCATTTTATATTAGCTTATATTTTTCTTTTATCCCTAGTTTAATGTTTCTCTGTTAATGCACAGTTAGGATTGCTGCCCAACTTTGTTGTACTCTGTGACCATAAAGAATCTTATCTTATCTTATCTGGCAGCAGATCCTTTAAGACATGTATGTTGTGAGGTGGCACCTCCATGGATTGGACAATCAGCACATCCCACAGATGCTCGACCAGCCTGAGTTCTGAGGAATTTGGAGGCCGGGGCAACACCTTTATCATGTTCCTCAAACCATTCCTGAACTGTGTGTGCAGTGTAGCAGGGTGCATTATTATCGTGCTGAAAGAGGCCACTGCCATCGGGGAATACCACTGCCATGAAGGTGTGTACCTGGTACGCAACAACGTTTAGGAAGGAGAAGAATGTCATATTGACCTCCATGTAAATGCCTGGACAAAGATTTCCCAGCAGAACATGGCCCAGTGCATCACACTCCCTGCACCAGCTTGTCTTCTTCTCACAGTGTATCCCGATGCCATCACTTCCCCAGGTAAACAGCTCTTACATCAAGTCAAAGTTTAATTATATAGTGCTTTTTACAACAGGCATTGTCACAAAGCAGCTTTACAGAAAATCTGAGTATAAGTCCCTATGAGCAAGTTAATGACGACAGTGGCAAGGAAAAATCCCTAAGAGCAATAGGGAGAAACCTTGAGAAGAGCCAAGGCTCAAAACCCATCCTCCTCCTCCTCAGATGTACCTTGCCATCCACATAATATAATAGAAAATTGGACTTATATGAGCAGGCGACCTTCTTCCATTGCTCCAAGGCCCAGTTCTGACACTCATGTGCCCATTATAAGCGCTTATGACAGTGGACATGGGGTTAGCATGGGCACTCTGACTAGTTTGCAGCTACACAGCCCCATACACAGATTAAATAAAACATCTAAAAAATCATTTTTAGTGATTCAAACTTAAATCCACATTGTAGAAGTTATTACTGTTTATAAAATAACAAAAAATGTTCATACGGGAACTGACACCAAACCTTTGAACGATGGCTTATGAGAAAATGTTCAGTTGGTCCATTATTCACAGCCACTTATGGTGATGGATGAGCAGGAACTGGGGGAAAAGGGTGATATATTGGCACTTTGTTTTATAAGTGAACTGCGGGTGGTTGTGTGCTTTTGGATAAGATGGTCTAATCTAAGAGATCATCAAGGCTAAATACAGATAGGAAGGTGTCCTTGAGCTCCCAAAGTGATAGCTTATTCATAAACCCTGTTACTGCAGAATTACATAGTTTTTTTTCCTTGTAATGATAACACTGCATTCTTGTTAGCAATAATGCCACTACTGCATTTTAATCACTGCCTTAATGCAATAAGTAGATAACAAAATATGAGCACCATTGCAGCCTAGCAAGATGTTAAAAATGTCAGTCTGTGCAAACATCACGTCTGATTTCAGTCACCTCTTTATAGCTTCAGTAGTTTCTTCCATTCCCCATATAAATAAAAATGTCCCGATTATGAAATATATTGTCGCAATACCTGGTATTTTTTATGGTGCCCGGTATATTCAGGGTTCATCCTTATGCAAGCAAACTTTTCATGCTTATCAGGGAATGGGCTCTATTGCCTTTGGTGAGTACAACAGAAAGGAGGAGTTATTGATATGTGTCATCAGATAACACTGTGTCATAGCATAAAAGGCCACCTCACTACTCATCACTGTAAAGTAGTGATTAACTAGTTGGAGCTCTCTGGTCACTGCAGCCAAATAAGGATGTTTGCTTTTTACTTATTTGCTCTTTTTGCTTCTATCTTGAGGATTGCTGTGTGTGCAGGTATGTGATGACATTTTTTTTTAACCAGTCATCTTAATTTCAGACACCAGTTATTGTCTTCTTGCACCAGTGCCTTTTGAGCTAATTCCTGCTTTATTTTGACTGCTTAGAGGGGATGTCCACTGATTTTTCAAAATGTCTGCATTTTGCATAACAAAAAATGAAATAAAATAACAAAAAATGTAAATACGGGTAGTGAACTTTTGAACAATGACCCCTGGTTCCTATCACCACCACTGTCAAGAAATGTGAGTAATGAAAGTAATGAAAAGTGAGTTGGTGCTTCACGGTTTGTAAGAATGCCTTATAACATAAGCTAAGAGGATATTTCACTTTCAGGACTTGTCAGTTAGCCAGACAATATAAGCTAAAAGTCAAGGCTATCCAAAAGGAGAAGACAACAGACACAGCCCTGGTTGACCATTTTCACTTTTGGAGTTATGTCTTTGAAAATATTGCTTTGACATGCCTGGTATGTGACTGAAACGGTTCATGCAGGTTACACAGCGGACAGCAAACCACAAACCACTGTGCGCATGACTCCTGCACTTTGTTACTATAAAGAGGCGCTTTAAGTCTATAAAGGTGTTAGTTTGATCAGGGGCCCCAATGATGCTGCTTGCGAAATATGGCCTTCAGTGCTGCTACAATTACGATCAGCATGTTCATTTCTTGAAAGTTAAACAGTGAGAGTCTTTCTTTAGGAAGACAAAACTGGAATTTTAGCTTCTTGTTTCCAAGAAGTTGCGTTAAAGTTGCCATTTCACAAACAGCCGAACAGCAGAAGTGTTGGGTGGTGGGACCACAAGGCAATTGCTAGTTCTCTCTTGTGGTTTTAAGCCACTCCTTACCAAGATCTTCCTCCATAACCAGACCTTTCACACTGATAAAGACTCAAGTGAGAAGAATCTGAACTTAAATTTGACTCAAGATGCTGTTGTCCACTGATCTCACACCTTTTTGCAGAAAGTAAGTACAAGTCTTCTGAATCGATCGCCATCAATTAAGCAGCTGGATCACACTTTTTCAAAGAACTGTGAAGTGGTATGCCACCAGTGGCCCACAGACTTGAGCAAAAGCTAACAAAATGCCTACTTCTGCCCTTGAGCACCAACTATTCACAGACAAAGCGTTCAGAAGCCAACAGATGCCCCATTACAGTGGTCCTACAAAGCATTCCATTACTCCTTTGTCGAAGATCCATCACTGTATGTTCTATTTTTGTATAGTTTCTTGTTTTATTCTATAAAGGTAGTTTGATTCCATGTAAGGTCATTGTCAGAGAACTTTGGATCGTTTGGTTTGACATCCCTCAAGAGACAGACAACAAATAGAGTGATCAAATAAAGTGGAGTGGCTAAAACTGATGTCTTTCAAGCCATAAACATGAATTTCTCTTTTAGATTGGTGCTATGAGTCCCAATTCTCCTGTGACCACAAATGCAACGGTAAGTTGTGTTCTTTTATTTAATATCAAAACATTTCAAAGATTTTAGAAATGAAATGATATTACACAGTTAATCTAATGATTATGTGTTCTGTAGAACCGAATCAATGGACGGAAGTATCAGCATCCTGTAATGGAACAAGCCAGTCACCTATTAATATTGTAACAAAGAAGGTTGCAGTTAACAGTACCCTCACACCACTTGGATTTCAAGGCTACCAAGAAGCGTTCCATAGCATTATCACAAACAACGGCCACACAGGTGTGTTTAGACAAAGCTGAAGATCAGCTGTTTGCATATTTCAACCTTACTGGGCTAGTAAAATGCAGAGTACATTGTGATCATGATTACAAGTTGTAGGCAGTTTCACTGTAAAAAGACAGGCCAACTGAAAATTGTGAGGTGACTGCATTAACTGATGTAACTTGGGTGAGTCAAAAGTTTTCCTAACTCTGCATCAGGTCATCAGTCAGGTCAACAATACAATTTAAGTTGAGCTTCCTCCAAAAAACTCCTCCTAATTTTACACTCTCAGAAAAAAAGGTACAAAACTGTCACTGGGGCAGTACCCCTCCTGTCTGTGGGGTGGTACCCGCAAGGGTACATCTCAGTACCCTTAGTCAGGGAACATGATTGTACCATAATGCATTGAAATGATATTTTCTATGTTGTATTGACTCCACACACCCCGTTTTTATTTTACTGTTCTATTTTACAATTTTAGGTTATGAAAAGGTGCAAATATGCACTTTTCACCTGGGATAAACTTATTTAAGATACACAATTAAACCTTAAAACCAATGTTGTACCTTTGATGAATGAAAAATGTACCTGCACAGCACCTTTATTTCTAATAGTATACCTGCATGCTTAGGACCCCTATCTTATGATGCCTTTGGGCTTTACTTAGTGTATCTTTAGGTACAGTAGATGTGTACTTTGTCCAACATTGCAATTTATACATTTGTCATAAGTCAGTTTGTCACATTTTCTCATCTTCAGTCAAGCTCAACCTGTCAGGCACTGCAAAGATTAGTGGCGGAGATCTAGGGGCAACTTACAAAGCAGTGGAGCTCCATTTCCACTGGGGCAAGGACGGTGGGCCTGGATCAGAGCACACTATTGATGGAGAGCAGTATCCTATGGAGGTATCATTGGATAAATGTCTGCAATTCCATGTTAAGCCATTACAGTATTTTGGTTATTATTCTTTGTGTGTTATATTGATTAATACAAGCCTTTTATCTCCTTAGATGCACATTGTTCACATAAAGGAAATGTACAGCTCCTTACAAGAAGCTGTTACAGACCCAGCTGGAGTGGCAGTTCTTGGATTTTTGTATGAGGTCAGAACAATCATCTAATTTGATTGATAAAATGCTGTGGAAATTCTGCAAATTCTTCAAACAGTCTGTGTAATTCAAAGGTTAAGATGTAGACAAAGTTAACTCGAGTGGTTTGATGTGAAATTCTAGAGAAACTTACCCGGTCAGAATTGTTTCACAGTGGTGGTGATGGGAACCAGACATCTGAAGAGTTTTAACACTTGTGAAAGCTACATCACAGCAAGATGTGACATAAAATTCTTATTTATATGTTGCCTGATGCCCGAGACATTGGTTTTGGCCTAAAACGTATTTTTAAATACCTTCAGAGAGGTATGTGCAGGGCATTGTAAAGTAGTTCAGAAAAGAAAATATATTATTTTGGATTTACCATTTTATTTATTAATTTTATTTATTAATAACATTACATATAAAAAGACACATGTAGGTTCATTTTGGATAGTATATATAATGGCTCTATTTGAGAACCTCTGGTTCCTAACACTACCACTGTAAAGATGAATCATTTCATCAAACCACTCTGAATGACATCTCAGAGACTGAATTATGCAGACATTTTGAAAGGAACCCCCCTTTTAGGTTACTAAATAATGTAATATATAATAAGTCAACAGACTCTGTTCACAAATGTACTTTCTTACCTAACAGGAAGTCAGAAGCTCAACCAAAAGATATGATTCCATCATAGACGCGCTTGCAAATATTACACACCCTGGTAAATTTCACATATTTATTGCTTCAACCATTGTCACATTCCTGTATAATGTTTTATGGCACACCATATAAAACTGAAGGTCAAAACATAAATGCTTTGAGTTTTATTTTTAGTAAAAAATAAATCAATTACAATAAAAATGTAGAAAACAGTTCAGCTGACTGCTTTCATTTCCAGGCAGCAGTTTAGCCGTTGGGCCCCTGTCTTTGGACCTGCTTATCCCTTCCCAAAATGAGTTGAAAAACTACTTCCGCTACAAGGGCTCCCTCACTACACCCAACTGCTCAGAGTCAGTCATTTGGACAGTATTTCAAAACACCATTCTGCTCAGCAAGTCACAGGTAAGTTATGGTGGATGCTCCTCAGGCAATCAGCAGACAATGTGATCTATTCCAAACCTCCAAAGGCTTGTAGGGCTGCGTGTTTTGGAGTTTGTTGTTAGAATAGACCAAAAATTTCAAATTGAGGCCCCTCTGACTGAATTCAGAACATAGTCCAGTGGTTCTCAGTGCTTCTAGTACTGGATTAAGATGCACTGCTCTGCATGTTTATAGTGCTTCAACACTTCCTCATTCAACTCATCAGCTTCATATCAACCCCCTTCTGGAGCAAAATGAGGCAGTGAATTGGGTCCCTAAGCCTGGGACTGAGAATCACTAACCTAGGGGTTTTATATGACGTATTATTTTGAAAAAATTGCACTCAAGCATTATTAAAACTGAGTACTTGTATGTTTACTTAATTGCATTTCCATTTCTGTTTATACCCTAAAAGTGCTTGTTACAAATCTAGAGTGGCCCATATCCTGCATTTTTCTTACATTTAGGTTTTCCTCTGGGGTCCACTAATGATGTTTGTGTGGTTTTATGTAACCAGAACAGTCATAATTCATTTTTTCATGACCATTTTCCAACCTTTCTGTTACTCCGATTTGAAGACTGATGTATGTGACGTTTGTTCTGATTGGCTGCCCTGTAGTGTGTCTATAACTTTTTGAAAGGGTGGAGCCAAACGGCTGAAAGCTGAATCATTGAGTATATGTAAAGTGTTTTTGCAGCATGATTTTCATAGATGGACTGTATGGACTGAGGAGAGAATGTTTACGTACTGTATCCAACTATTTTATTCAGAAAGAAAAATGTGTTTCCATGATATGGGCCTTTTAAGGACCAGGAGATTTTTCTCTTTGTCTTCTTAGTCAAGTTCCCAGGCATTTTTGTTTTTATTAAAATTTTCTGTTAAATTCATATAAAACTGCCCCCAGTCGTGCTTATACTGTCCCATTTTTGTTCCATGTTTCTCAGCTGTCTGCATTCTCTGAGCTCCAGTTTGAAAATGGGATGACTATGGTGAGAACATTTCGCCCAGTGCAGCCACTGAATGATCGACCGGTCTACTATTCTAGCAGTCATGTTGCATCTGTCAGCGCCATATTAGTTGTCAATACCGTTCTCATCACCTTTTTGACTCTGTTAGAATGAAAGAAGTTACAGTCTTTTAGTGCTCAAAATTACATGGCTTTTATTTTGAATTTCAATACGCTGTAAAACACAGAACCCTTACTCTTTGTTACGGTAAATAGGTCTATTGCATGTGCTTCAACCCATACGGAAAAGAAAAACATGTAAAATGTATTTATCAAACACAGTGGCCAATTTTCTTATGTACTTTGTTTAGTGTCTGGAATGCATTTTGGAATGAAATAATGTATTTAAAATGTATGTCATATATGTAAATATATATATATGAAAAAATGCATGACCATGACTTTTCTCCACATCAGAAGTAATGCTTTTAGTATTTTGTCTTTTTAGTAATATATTTGTAGTAATTCAGTTTTTTTTCTTTGGTCTTATTTGTTTTTTCACACTGGGATTCACATATTTATGCTTTATGCTTATGCTGTCCTCTCTTTACATATTTAGAATGTAGTAGTGTTGGTGAAATGGAAAGGATGAAAAACATTAAAATATTCTAAATGTTATAATTCTCTGTTTTTGTCTTTTTGCAAGACTTAGAAAATAATTGGTATAACCAGCAGCAACAAAACATCGTATCTCCAAAATGATAACTTTGCAGTAGAAAGAAAAACATACTTTACACTTAATATCAACATGTAAAGTCAATGGAACCAGACAATTTTCCAAGTATATATATATATATGTATATGTGTATATATATATATATATATATATATGTGTGTGTGTGTGTGTGTGTGTGTGTGTGTGTGTGTATATATATCCAGTTAATTAGGAGCCTGGCCTCCTGTTTCCCCCATTATATATAAAACATGACTGTGCTCACAAGCAAGCCCCCAATGAACGTGGGTGAAGGAAGCTAAACAGCTAAAAAGGAAAAGTTAAAATAGGGCAGCAGGACACTAGTATTACTGCTACTGAGCGCTGATTGATTGGCGGCAGCTCATTGGCTGTTCGCACTCACTGACGTCATGAATGTACAGGAGGCGCCGTTTTACACTCTTATAACTCGAGTTTAAAAGCTCTTAAAAATATAACAGCAGTGTTAAAATGTTTTATAGTGTTCTGTGCTCAGGAATTGAAATCATTCTTCAGTATAAAAAACGCATAAGTATTTACAAATTATGATTTTGCTCAAATGCTCCACACACCACACGCACATCATCTAAACCGCTTATCCTTCTGGGTCGCGGGGAAACGCTCCATCTTAACCTATTCATTTTGGACTCGCTCGGGAGCGCCCTCTAGCGTTTGAGAAACCCAGAAGACATTACAGAGTAATTCTCCTCTCTACAAGTTCTCTGACAGAACGACGGTTACAGGTTCAGCATTCTTAGACACAACTAGGGCTGAGAGTCGATTCCAAAAGAGTCGATTCTCCGATATCAGGCATTTGGGACTCGACAGTCGACTCTTTGGAGTTGAGTCCACACGGTGACGCTCAGGTTTTTCTGCTGCACGCGCGCGCGCGCATCACCGCCACCATAGACAACGCGCATGAAAAAAATGTAACACCTGCATCGATTACATCGATCGTTACATCGACAGCACAGCCGTATTTTACTTTGGACAAAGTGGAAAGCAAAGTAAACAACAAAAGCGGCTTACAAACAATCAAATAACCTTGACAGCGCTGAAACATCTACCCAACAGAAGGAGGTAAGAGAGGAGAATCACCACAGATTAGCGTTATTCAGCTAAGTCTTGTTAAAGGGGAACTCCTCCAAGTTTTCAAAATTTCTACATAATTAAGTGGATAAGATGTAAACAAAGTCATTCAGAGTGGTTTGGTGTGAAATGCTCTGTTCTAGAGAAACTTGCCGAGTCTTTTTTTCTTCACTAAATGGTTCTGAATATGCTGCCTAAAGCCTAAGACATTGTTTATAGCAGTTTGTTGATTGAAGTTTTGGCCTAAAACGTCTTGTTAATCCACTTATTGGTGGAGGGGTACACACAGGGTGTTCTAAGGCAAAATAGTCTCCAAAACCCTTTATTTTTTCAGATTTAACACCTTTTACCATCATCAACATTACATATAAAACTGGGGAGACACATGTAGGTTCACTGGTGGTTTTGGATAGTAAATAAACTGGCTATATTTGTGTTGTAGATATTGTGACCCCTGGTTCCTATCACCACCACTGTAAAGAAATCAGCGTCTGCAAGTTTCTCTACAGTGAGCATTCCACATCAAACCACTCTGAATGACTTTGTTTACATCGTAACAACTGAATTATGCAAACATTTTGAAAAATAGGTGGAGTTCCCCTTTAAGATTTAATAAGTCATGTAATTCAACTGATAATTTGTGTCTGTGAGGAACAACTGATTTTATCACCATGTACAGATGTATAAAATTATTCTATATAATGCTAATATTCTTCAGGTTTCAAACAATTTGTGAGGGGTTTTCAGCAGTAAATGCATCCAGAATAATTGAGAATGTATCACATCAAGACTGACCTTATAATAAAATGAATATCCTGAATATTCCTTCTTATTTGCCTCCTATGCATATTCCTCATATTTGAAAAGCGATGATCAAAGTTTGCTAAACAATCAGCTATTATTAGTTATCTTTGACAAGAAATGACCAGAAATAAACAATTACACATTATTTAGTAACATTTGCTATTTTTTTTTACCAAGTCATAAATTCTTGTTGTTCCCAAAACACTTAAAGTTGTGAATAAACTATCAGGGTAAATGTTGGTGTCTAGTTTATAGTATTTCAATCAATACTGTATAAGTTTAAACAGTTTTTAATGACAACTGATGCAAAACGTTTGTGAGGCAGTGTATGTTATGTCAAGATCCCTTAATATAAATCTTAATGGATGAGCTTAATTAACATTGTACCTTTGATTTCTCTTTTGTCTTATATCTTAGTTTTTGGAATTGAGAATCAAGGAAATGTTCGTGTAAAATCGACTCCATCCATCAGTCGGAATTGGAGTCAGTTGGAGAATTTGGATACCAGAATTCCAGAACAGCATGACCAGCATCCTACATCTGTGCCAACAAACATCATGAAGTCAGTGAATCATTAATTTTATATAACGTGGGCTGAAAAAAGTGCTTTCATTTTCCTCCAAAAATATATAATTATATAAAAAGAAAGCATATTGTAGATTCTGAATATTCAGACACAGCTAGGGCTAGGAATCAATTCCATGAGGAGTCAAATTTCTGGAATCGGACACAAGCTTTTAACCTAGGCTGCGTTCAGGGAGTCTGCATTTCCTACTGTGGGACAGTTCTGTCCAAAATGTGGGAAAACACTGAACAGTCTGTGATAAAAAGCCTAAATCACCTTAATTCAAGTAATAAAAAAAAAGGTCAGTAACACTCAAAGCTAAATGTGCAATCCCATGTTCAGTAGCCTAATTTTACCTTTTACAATGTTACTGCTGTTACAAAACCTACAGTTAAAATGTTAAACCGTAAAATGTTTTCTATTTCTAAACAAGGAACACATGCAGTCGCAACAGGCATGTTTGAAGGCAATACATCAAACTTTGGGACAACACATAATAAAACCTCTAAACTCAGACATTTTTCCTTAACATTGACCCTGACTTTAAAAAGGCAAGGGTGTGCCTTTCACGCACACATACATACAACCTCGCACACAAAAAAAGCCTCGTATCATTTTAACAGAGATGCAGCCAAACCCAGTTATTAAATAGAATTTGCCCTTTGCCATAAATAGCTAAAATAATTCATTAGAAAACTAAAACTCTGTAAATAACCACACATTTGTCCCACATTAAACATCATACTGCTCCACTTTTCAAACCACATTTCCTAAAGCGGGACAACAGAAAAATGTATTGCAATAAGAAATATAGAGTATGTTTACACTATATTATAATACTTTTTTTGACAAATAAACATTTATAAGAAATTTATACTCTTTAATTTTGTCTGAACATTATGTAACTGACCTTTAGGTGGTCTTCACAAGGGGTGCTTCCTGTTTGAAGATTATGCTACCGTCTTCTATGGCTTCTATTACTGATAAATGATGTAATTTTGACCGTATGACATCACAGCTTGTGTTCACACATAGTTTTATTGACTTTCATTTGTATAAGGAAGACCTACACCAATTAGAGCTTATGTGTCCCACATCGGGAGAGATCACCCTACGTAGCTGTGCTGGTGAGGCAGATTTCCATTGTGTATGAGTAGAAATTCTCAGGCACAAGCATGAATCTTAAGTGCTATTCTCAAATCCCAGCTCTTCAGTCAGTCTGGATTTGACATTGTCGTCACTTGTTGCGCTGCTGATGTCACAAAAGACACTTTGGCTACGTTCGCACATCAAGTAAAAGTGACCCAAATCTGATCTTTTTCTTCGTGTGTCATCTGTGTGGCAGTGTGAACAGCAAAAAATACACTGAATCTGACATTTTCAGTCTTAATTTGGGACACACAGATGTGGTACTGAAATCCGATGCTTATACAATATGAAGCAATATGGCACAGTCTGAACAGCCCGATTGGAATTCGTAGATTGAGAGCAACACATCTGGGTACTTTGCGCTTGTGTAATGCCCCGACCCTTTTTGGTTGAAAGCAGATCTTTTCATTTGACTGCCGGTACGTACACATTCTGAGGTCTTTGACAACTTAATAACAAACAGTTCATTATACAGAAAATATTATAGAAATAGGGGTTGAGGAGTGTCCTTTCAGTCTGGACAAACAACCTTACCCAGTGACCATCTATATGTAGATTTTGCTTTTAAGAATTTCTAGGGGTGGCAACAAGATTGTGTTAAGAAAAATATTTATTTCATGACAAGATTTATTTTTTTCTTTTAATCATTACACCTTCAATAAAGGTCAGACTTTTGCAAATATTTAGAATGAAAGATCAAAAGGATAAATGATACGGATATTTTTTACAGATCATTTTGCTTATGATTACCAGTGGTGCCAATATTTGTGGAAAACACTGTATGCAAAACAGGCTTTGCAGACTTTATCACCTGGACCCTGAGGCAAACGGTCATCTTCTGTGTCCAATGAGATGAAGATTTCGTCTGTAAGGCAGTGGACAACATCAGCTATCTCTGGACTACACATGTCTACCAGCTGGCAGGAACCTCAGTCCCAGACACACAGCTGGAGTTTCAGGTACAACACAATATGTTCAGAGACTGCAAATACATTGTCTGTCATCTAATACATGCCATACAAACATACTAAACCCAACAGAATTAAACACAATGATTTATTTGTAATGTAGTGAGAGTGAGGTTGAGTCCACAGACAGTGCTGTCCCAGAGCACAGGAGCTTCAGATGAAACACACAGAATTTAAAACTCTGCATTACAGTCATATGAAAAATACAGTAATAATGAATATTTACCCATATCAGTTATTATTATGTAACATCTCCTGTTAAGTATAAGGTGCATGCAAACAGAATGATTTGTTTGCAGTGTTAGGACGCAAATTGTGGACTAATCAGAGCAGGAACTTCAGGTAGAACATACATCATTCAGAACACCGCATTGCAGTTATATGCGAATGCATTTATAGTTCACATCTGTTCATATCTGTTTTTATTTCATATCTGCATTTGTTCCTAGATATGAGGTTTGTAACAGAAATCAAATATTTGATTTACATGTGTAAATAAATAATTTAAATAATGTGTGAGGTGCTTAGGACACATTTACATTTGCTGTAGGCAGTTGTTCATTTGAGCTGCCACAGCGAGAACTCAGTTACAGTGACTCAAACAGAGAAGAGAGCGGAGCTGATGAACTGAACTTATACATCCCCCTGTCGTTCATTGGTTGGCAACACAGTCACGGACTCAGAGGTCTCCAGCGGTGTTTGTTTTATGCTCTGCTCTGCAGTCTGAGGAGCTTAAAGGGAAACTCCACCGAGCTTGCAAAATTACTTAATCATTCAATGGTTTAGAAGTAAACAAAATTAGTAAGAGTGGTTTGGTGTGAAATGCGTCTTACTAGAGAAATTTACAGAGTCAAAATTGTTCATCATTATAGTACTAGGAACCAGGCATTGTTATGTCCACACTACAAAATCACCATTTTATCTGCTGTCCAAAATGACCAGTAAACTTACATGTGTCTTATAAGGTTTTGTCACGCTGATAATGGCAAAATAATGCTAAATAAAAAAAACAAAAAAAATGTTTTCTTCGGGTACTATTTTTTCCTTACAGTGCCCTGCATGTACCTCTTTGCCTTGCAGGCGTTTTGTGCTGTTTTGTTAGGCAGCATTGCGTTGCACGGTGTCAGCAAAACTCAGAGCTTATGTGAGTAACGTTATTCATCAGAGGAGCTGGTGTCAGAGTGGTGGTGAACTGCACTGTACCAGGATGCAAAAATAAATAGAGAAAATACAGTATGGTGCCGTTACAAATACCAGAAATCCTGAACTTATGGCTAATTGTTTTGAAGCTACGCACAAATACCGACGTCAAACAATTTCACAAAGACTAACTTAGCTACTAGTGATCAAATGCAAAGTGGGTTTCTTCAAATGCTGCTAAAGAAAACTGCTGTTCCCTCTGTTGTATTTTTCCCCACAGAAACTGGAATCAAGGTAAGAAACGTTTGTGAGTGAAATAAATCAGTCGTTGTTAGCCACTGTGCAAATATCCCTGTTAGCCATTAGCTTACAACAGACTGTCTAAAGTGGGCCACAAAATAAAATAACTATCTACCTCGCTATCCTACCTCATAAACTGGTAACAGAGTAGCAAGTTGTTTGTTGTTGACACCACCATTGCCCTGGGTTGTTCTGCTTCAGCGCCGACGGGTTCAGTCTTTCTTTCTCTTTCTTTCGTCTCTCTACCTTTCGGCTCTCTTCTTCAAGAAGCTGCAACTCATTTGTGTTTTCAAAATCATCTTTGAAATATGTAAGAAAACTGTAAAAATATACTGTAAACAAAAGCTGCTGCTGGCGTTAGCCGTGTTGAGCGGTTGTAGCTACAGGCTAGTAACGACAGAAGCACGTTAGGTTGCGTGCAGAATGCGGCAGTAATCCTGGAGTAATAGTTTATACTAGAAATACATTTTAGACCAAAACTTTATAACAAAACTATCACAAAACAATGTCTTGGGTATCAACCAATGTATTTATAACGGTTGTGTGTAATAACTTAGCGGGATGTAGCTTTTAGAGCCATTAAATGCTTCATACATCTGGTTCCTAGTACTATAATGGTGAACAAATTCTGAATGAGTAAATTTCTATAGAAAGGTGCATTTCACACCAAACCACTCTGATTTTGTTTCCATCTAAACCATTGAATGGTTAAGCAATTTTGCAAAATCGGCGGAGTTCCCCTTTAAGAGGCGAGGGGTGTCGGATCTTCTAAGCAGACACAGCACTCAATAGAGGGGTAAAAAAGTTTATATCTGTATAGATATATTGATAAGCACCAATTTACAAGAACTAATAACACTTAACCTCCAGGACAGTGGTGTTGATGTGTTATTCCAGTGTTTGCTGATTTGTTTTCCATTAGACTTGTTATATCCCTGAAGATCTTCTGTACAATGCTGCATTCAGAACGTACTGGTTATACAGTCTTATCTGAAGACTGAATTACTAGCTGCCTATCTAACCTGCTGAATCATGATTCGCTGCTGCTTAGCTTCTGTCAATATTTATTGCCAGATTGTGTCTGGCATCAAGATTATCAACCATAAAGTGTATTTTGTGACCTTCAGCCCTAATCCCATTTCACCCCTTGACCCTACCACTTAGCCCTTAGCTTTTGTGCGTTAATGTCTAGGGGTAGGGTGTCCCAAATGTTGTTGAGGTAGAGGGGTAGGGCGAAGTGTTAGGGCTACACGGCCCTCCAAATGGAGTGCGATGAGAAAACAGAAAAACTGGCAAGATGGCTGCGCAAGTGGCCAAAGAAACACACAAATGTGGGTATTTTCTCTGTTAAAACATTACGATAACCATTCTATTATCTCAGTTTAATGTCGTTCAATATATTATGGACGTTTTCTTCAGAACAAGCATAAAAAATCGCTAGTAGTGTGCTGATGTCTTGGTAGCTAGTTGGCTAATTTTCCCGTTCCACCTTAAATGGTGCGGGAGTTACTTTCTGGTACCTCAGGCGTCAGAACTGCTGCACCATTTAAGGTGGAACAGGAAAATTTGAAAAGAAGCTGGCGAATATCTGACTTAAGCTTCATGTCAGTGAAGAATTAGGGGTGGGTGATAATAAATAATTATTCCATCCCCCCTCTTTAAAGGGATATTGATTGCCTAAATTAAACTAAAGACCAGCAGCGAGGTTGCTGAACTTTACCCTCCTCTGCTATCTGGCAGGGTCGCCTACAGAGCACCGCTAGTAGTCTTTTAATGAAGTAATGTTATTATTTTATCTGAGGGTCCCATTTCACAGGGGAAGATTTCAACCACTACCACTTGTAGCTTACTTCCAAGATGCCAGGTGACACTTGAAAACAAGTGTCAGAGAGAGAAAAGAGCACTGTTCCTAAACTGTTGCCTGCTGCAGTATTTAGTGCTCTGCTGTGCGACTCTGTCAGTCATTTTGCTCAAAAGTGTCTTACAGAATTATTGGCACCCTCGGTAAAGATGAGTAAAGAACAGTGCAGTAAGGTACATTTTGGGAAATGAGGGACAAAATAGTGTCACAAGACTGACTATGAGGTGATTTACTCTGGGTCACTCCCCTTCATGAGTGATGTGTGAGGTGCCTAGGTCACGTTTACATTTGCTGTAGGCAGTTGTTCATTTGTGCTGCCACAGCCAGAACTCAGTTACAGTGACTCGAACAGAGAAGAGAGCGGAGCTGATGAACTGATCTCTTACACTGTCTGTTCTCATTGAACACAACGCTCCCTGACCTGTTGATCAAGGCGGCACACCGCCAGGAATATCTAACTTGAGAATTCGCTTGTTTTATGAGTTATTTTGTGCTGCGTGGCGCCTCTGTTCACCGTCGGACTGTGTTTTGTGTCTAATTGATGATTCTGTGCTCATTAAAGAAAAAATATTCGGAAAAAATACGGACGCGTCTGCAGCGGTTGCAGAAAGCACGTGATTACGACGCGACCGTTCATTGGTCGGCGACACAGTCATGGACTCGAAGGTCTCCAGCAGTGCTCGTTACACGGTCCGCTCTGCAGTCTGAGGAGACTGTCTGTCAAACATGGAGCGCTGGAAGGGCAGAGTGGCTCTGGTCACGGGGGCCTCGGTGGGAATCGGAGCTGCCGTAGCGAAGGCGCTGGTTCAGCACGGCATGAAGGTGGTGGGCTGCGCCAGGAGCGTGGACAAAATAGAGGTGAGAGAGAGAGAGAGAGAGTGGGGTGTCAGTAACCGCTGACCTGTTCGACGTGCGTGTCAGATAAAGCTATGAGAGAAGTTACTGCTGTGTCTGAATGTCAACACCTGTAAAACTTTAACGGGTCGCTTTAGCCGAGGAGAGCTACTATAGTTAGCACACTTCCTCTTTAGCGCCTCGCTCAAAGTCCTGCAGGCTGATAGTTATACAATCTTAACTGTACAGTCAGTCCAGGTTAAAGGGGAATTCCACCCATTTTTCAGAATTTCCGAACAGTTGCATGAGTAAAATTTGAATAAAGTCATTCAGGGAGGTTTGAAACGGTTCGTTCAAGAGAAACTTGGCAACTCAGAATTGTTCACAGTGGCAGTGATAGGAACCAGACGTCTGAAGAGTTTAAGGCCTCTAAAAGCTCCCTCACAGAAATGGAAGTAGTTAAGAATTCCTGCCTGACGCCTTGAGACAAGGTTTTATGAAAGTTTTGCTCTTTGTTTCGTTCTGAGACAAAATAGACCCAAAGAAAACTTTTTTTTTTTCCAGATTTTCCACAACTTTACCATCAACAATATTACAATAAAAAAAATGGTTCACTTGTGGTTTTGGATAGTAAATAAAATGGCTTTATTTTTGTTGTAAACATTGTGACCCCTGGTTCCATTACCACTGCTGTAAAGAAATCAAGAGTTGGTAAATTTCTCCACAGTGAACCTTTTCACATTAAACTACTTAGAATAATTTTGTTTACATGTTAACAGTTTAATTATGATTGAAAAAATTGTGGCGTTCCTCTTTAAGAAGCACACCAGGTAAAGTGGGACGTGTGGTGAACATGAATAAATGTTACTTTGGTGTGTCTTTAGAGAGCTGAATATAAATAAATGTCGATTGATGTGACATCACTATTATGGGATTGGCTGCTTTTTTTAAGCACCTGCATCCCGGAACATGTCTTTTATGTCTTTCGAATTGAAAGAGTTTAATGTATCGTGTAAACACTGATTCATTGGTTTGCATGTATCTTCCTGTTCAGCCTGCAGCAGTTTAGCCTTGCCCAAGCCCAGACTGCTTTTTGAATGAGCCGAAATACAGAGCAGGCAGTCAGAACAGTTCTTTTACATACAGTAAATGAATGCAACTGTTTTGGTTTGCCTGGTCTAATGACATCTTTTTGCTGATTTTGTAAGTGCAGATGATTTAACAAATCCTCTACAGAGAACACACTTCTGCAAAGTTTAATGCACAGCTAATGTTTATTTGCTGAATTTATCATATTGGGACTTTCTCTACAGAGTGCTTGACATCTGTATAATGTTACACACCTTGTAAGCAGCATCCCACTTAACCTTTTCAGCTGCCCCACTCAAGGTGATCTTCAGATCTTCTGAGTAGACGCATCACTCAATAGGAGAAAAAGCAATATATTTCTGTATAGATATGTTGATAAGCACAAATTTAGAAGAACTAATAACACTTAACCTGCAGGACAGTGTTTTTGATGTATTATTCCAGTGTTTGCTGAAAAGTTTTCCATTTAACCTGATTTGACCCTGTCTAGTTGAAAATCTTCTGTACAATGCTGCATTCAGAATGTACTGGTTATACAGTTTTATCTAAGGACTGAGATAATAGCTGCCTATCTAACCTGCTGATTCATGTTTCGCTGCTACAGAGCTTCTGTCAATATTTATTGCCAGATTGTGTCTGGCATCAAGATTAAAGTGTACCATAAAGTGTATTTTGTAACCTTCAGTATCCAGTAAAGGACTCTTACTGTTGGAAAAAAAATCACATGTAGAACATAAGAAAGAAACAAGAGCACTGTTCTTAGTGATTTTGCTTCAGTGTGTCTTACAGAATCATTGGCACCCTTGGTAATGATAAGTGTAAAGTGTCTTTGTTCATCAGCTTTACCTTACATGGAAAATACGGCAAATATCTGCCCTTTGATTGAGGTACCAAATAAAAAAACGTCACAATTGCTTGCATGAGCTGGGCCTTACACCTCACTTTTTTGCACCCTTCCTTTGCCAAGGTAACAGCACTGAACCTTCTCTGGATGAGTTGGGAGAACATAAATAACAGGTTATGAGACTATTCATCCATACAGAATCTCTCCAAATCCTTTAGAGTCTTTGGTCCTTGCAGATTTTTCAGTTGTAGTTTCCTGGTATTTGATAGAGCCTATGATGATGTTGTATGTCCTAACAAGAAATCCAAGGTTTTAAACACATCCACCACCATACTTCACAGTGATTTACGTTTTTGTTTTCTTTTCTGTGTAGCACCAGATCCACCTTTAAGCCAGAAAGTTTTATATTCATCTTATCTCACCATAGGATCTGGTTCCAGGCAGTTTCAGTGATGGTTAGTGAGATGCGAGGGTGAAAAATTTGGGTTCTAAAACAGTACCAAAACATTCAGGACCAAATGTTGACATTTTATTATTTAATTATGAACATTTTATGGTGTGTATTAATCCTTTTTTAGACTAATAGATTGCTATTTCTGTCTTATTCCACAAGAAAGGATAAATATGATAATATGGTATGGTAATATATCTAAAATTGACTTTGTTTATGAGAATTTCTAAGCATGCTCATTTTGCCAGGAATTGATTTTAGAAAAAGATTTTACTTAATGTACTAAATAGATTTCTGTCTTATTGTTGGTGCAAAACATTTTTTACTTATCTTTATTCAGGTTGACATTAATTCTGGAGGCACTGTATTTGCATGAGAAATAGTGTATGTAATGGAAATGCAGTAGTACATTATTGTTCCAGTACACTGCAGTAGGCCGGAACAGTTACTCTGAAGTTGGGTGTAGAAAAATTCTAGGTTTTGTGTTTTAATGAAATGGCTAAATTTTACAGTGCATCTTAAATGTTGGATATTCATAACCATCTGTGTGCTCTTTTAAATGTTGTGCCCTTTTCCAGAAACTGGCAGCAGAATGTGTCAGCTCCGGCTTCAGTGGCACTCTGATTCCATACAAATGTGACCTGTCAGTCGAGGAGGAGATTTTATCCATGTTCTCTTCCATCAAATCATTACATCGAGGCGTCGACGTGTGCATCAACAATGCTGGTTTAGCTCATGTGGCGCCTCTGTTAAATGGCAAAACCAGTGCCTGGAGAAACATGATTGATGTAAGTAGCAACCAGTAGCAATTGATGGTAGTTGGTGGGTAGTAGGTAATTACATTTATGTTTATGCAGTTGGCTGACACTCCTAGCCAGAGCAACTTTGATGATTGACAGTTATATGACGTTCCAGAGGTAGGCAAATATAGTGTTAGGAGTCTTGCCCAGGGACTCTTTTTTGGTGTAGGCTAGTGTGTTTGCCCAAACAGCAGTCTACCACGTGGAGGGCAGCAGTATTACCCACTACGGTACACGAACAGCATTTTCTCAGTTATGGGTGCTCAAGTAAAAGTTTGACTTAATTTAACAGAATTGTACTTTTTTTTTGTATCAAGTAAATTGATCTACAGTTACATGTTATGTAATGTTACATTTTATGCAGTGTTAAACTGGTGACAGCATCTGTACTGCTTTATAATTCTTTCATTCTCAGTCTTTTTTAGACCACAAGGATCCCAAAAAGAGGAAAAAATAGTCCCTAATAAACGTTAAATTTGTTAAGTAAAACTTTATTCTCACTTAAGCCTTTTCAGGATTAGTTTCACACGGGGAGGTGGGGTAATGTAAATATGACCGGTGTTACACCAGGCATGTCAAATTGGGGACCTTCCGGCCCAAAGTGCTGCAGAGATTAGCGTTTACCTTCATCTAACGCTCCAAATTCAGTTCATAAAGGCCTTGCTAATTAGTTGACAAGCTGAATCAGGTGTGTTTTTGAGACAGTGTGCTGAACTCTGCAGTGTTTTGGCCCATGAGGACTGGAGCCTGACACGTGTGTTATACTGAATTCTGTGACACGTCGAGTTGTGAGACCACAGTGGGTGCTGTTTTGCAATTTCTGTTCACGTGTGTGCGCGCTTTACGCGGACTATGTAAGCTACACCGTTGTGATGTTGTTTCTCGTACTGCCACGTTCAGCTAGCCTAGCGATGAGAAACTCCTCATGTCTGTCTATTCATTACAGAAATATATTTACTACTGAATGTCTCATCACATGTTTTCTACATATATATAAACATCATTTGTAGAAGATCTGACAGTGTGAACGTCGGACAATAACACTATTTTGCCTCAAGAAAGCAAAACACCAGACACAGTAAACCACTTTGGAAAAGATTAATACACACTTTATAAGCATCAAGTTATAGTTGTATTATTGTGTTTAAATATGTCTGATACGGGATAGTTTTATATTCTCATTGTAGATGATAGAATTGTGATAAATGTGTCATTGCCAGCTCCTAACTTTACACTCCACCTTTGAAGCTTATATTGGCACTGCATGTGAATGATGTAATGACTGGGATGTACAGATAGGCCCTGGCAGATGGGCCTTGATATAGGAGTCACCAATTGTGACAGCTGCCATTGGAATATGTGACTGCTCTGCAATCCCCACAAAAAATAATTAAAAAACAACCACATCTTTTTTTCTCACCATTTCACCTTTTCAACCAAACCGGCATTCATGATTGATGTGTATAGGAGGGCTTTGTCATAGGGTCACCAATCCTGACAGCTGCAGTCAGAATATGAGACCACTCTGCATCTCCACAATAAATAGTGAAATATTCACAGGTGACTTACCACCATTTGACCTTCCAAAAAAACATTCATGACTGTGTGTGGATGTGCATTGGCTTAGGGGTCACCAATTCTGATAGCTGCTGAATAAGTGACTGCCCTTCAACACTATTCTCCATTTTTTCAGTTGACGTTTTACTCCTTCACTTTGTTAATCAACAAAGCATTAACGACTTTTCACCTGAAGCACGCTGACAAATAACATGGGCTGTGCTAGTATAATGTGGGTTATGTTGATACAAAAGTTGATATAATTGTTTTATTATTGGATAATAGTGACCTAAGTGTTATTAACATGTTTTTATTTTACATATATAAGTATAGAGGTTGATATGGAGATTTATATTTATTTTGTAAGCTGTCACATATACCGATGACATCTGTCAGTATTGGTGACCCTTATACCAAGGCCTGGTATCTGTCCACTTTTTTTTCTCTTCATGAATGCTGTTTGGCTGAAAAGATGAAGGGGTGGTAAGTCTTTCACTTCCACAAAGCTGGCTGGTGTAGCTTACATAGTCTGCGTAAAGTGCTCGCGCATGTGAACAGAAACTTTGAAACAGCTCCCACTATCCACATGTAAAACTAATCCCATCCGAATGTGCCTTTAGATCTGATATATTTTGTACTTCTGCTCAAGTTGTTTTTAGGAAAGGTACTCAAGCAGTTAATTCAGCAACTTCTACTTGAGTCGTGATTTTCCCATTATAATAATTTTACTTGAGTGTGGGTTTATGCTGCTCACCTCTGCACGTATGGCTTAAATGGAGGAATCAGTTTAAAATGTTAATCAATCAGTTTTTTAACCTCTTTAATTTAAAGAGACTATTCCAAAAATTCTCATGTCAAGTGTCAAAGTGTCATTGCCATCAGCCATTCTGAATGACAGTTCTCATGATTTATCCTTCTATTGTATTAAAATCAAGCTGCTCATCAGTTAAGCAATCTAAGAAATCTGATGATTGAACTGATGAATTGATAATAAGGATCATTGATATTTTGAGATTTGTTTATTGATTTATTTAAAGTTGAAGAATGACCAGAAACATAAGACACAAATACTGCAGTTTAGAGTCATCAGATTAGTCGTCATTTTACAGGTGAACGTTCTTGCACTGTCAGTCTGCACTCGTGAAGCCTATCAGTCCATGAAAGAAAGAAACATCGATGATGGCCATATCATCCACCTAAACAGGTATGGAAATCTTTATTAAATATTGATTTATTTATTTAACATCGGTAGTCTCATCACCGCTGAGCCTGAAGAAATGTCATTATGCTTTAGCTTGTCTGGACACCGGGTGGTGCACAGTGCCGACTCGCACTTCTACACTGCCACCAAATACGCTGTGACCGCTCTCACAGAAGGCTTGCGGCAAGAACTACGGGACGCCAAGTCTCACATACGTACCACAGTAAGTAAACAGTACACGGGTCGTAGTCAAAGTACAGTATAGTACAGTACAGTATAAGCATATCTAGTTATCAGTGTGGGATGTCGATCAATACTTGTACAGTGTCACTATACAGGTGAAATAAAAGCTTTGTTGTCAGTAGATCATTCTTAATAACAGTAGTTTTAAAGACCCTGACATTGCTGTTTCTTTGGCAGTGCATATCTCCTGGACTAGTGGAGACAGAATTTGGTTTCCGATTCTATAGCGGCAACCCAGGAAGAGCTGCAGCCATATATGAAGGGATCAAGGTGAAAAAATATGTATATTCTAACACAGCCTGAATATTTTAACATTGCAGCTTGTTCCTTGTTAAAGTGTCAGTACTTATCCTGATATTGTTTTACAGTGTCTTCAAGCAGACGATGTCGCCAGTGCTGTCTTATATGCCCTGAGTGCCCCTCCACATGTTCAGGCAAGAATATTTGTCCTCTTAATGAAGTGCCTGAAGCCCTTTCACCTAGTTTATAGTAGTAGATGAGCAGGAGAGGAAGCAGAGTGCATGTGCAAATTGGCTTCATTAGCATCCATGGAAACTGCAGGCAGTGATGGTGAAAATGTAGAATCCAAGAAAACAAAAAGATGAATTAAGAAGACTAAAAAGGTAAAATACAAAACAAAAAAAAGTTACTGAGTTCATGAACAATGACCAAATGAACAGTGATAAGCAATACACAAGACAAAAACAAGGGGCGTGTATATATACGCTGGGAAAAGCCAACAGGAAACACCTGAGCACAATTACAAAGAAGACACAGGTGAACAGAATAACGGGGGGCGGAGATACAGCACTGAGAGGGAGAGGGGAGGAAGCTGACTAGGGAAGCTGTGACTGGAGGGATAGAACTCACTCTTCTTAAAACATATTCCCTACACTGGTGTTGTGGTGATAGTGGTGGAGAGCGCTGCCTGACACTTGGGCCCAAAATATTGACTTTGAGGGTCATAGTGTATCATTTACATCATTTTCATACTCATCAAACCATTCAGTGACCTCTAATGTTCTGTGATGGGGGTGTTGTCATCCTGGAGGAGACCACTCCCATCAGGACAGAAATGTTTCTTTATAGCATGACGGTGATCAGTCAGGATGACTTTGCATTGGGCCCTCGAGTGGTGCAACCATCTAAGCGTTGGCCCTATCATCAGGAGATTGCGAGTTCGATCCCTGGTAATGCTACAGCCATCCGTAGCCAGGAGTTTAAGAGAGCACAATTGGCCTCGCTCTCTGGGTGGGTAGGATGGCTGCGCCTCTCCCCATCAATCAGCGTGATGCTAGTCAGCACAGGCGTCTGTTAGCTGATGTAGCAGATCTGGCGGTTGGCGCTTTCCTCCGAACGCATTCAGCTGTCCAATGGCGTTGCATGAGCGGCAGTTCAAAAAGATGCAGTGGCGCTTCACAGGTCTCGCTTCACAGGGCCCTTGACCTCCTAGCACTGGTGGTATCGTGTGATTGGGGGAGTCCTAACTAGTGGGTGGAATTGGACATGACGAAAACTGGGGAGAAAATTGGTGGGATAAAGATAACTTTGTATTGATTTGCAGTGACCCTTCCTTCTAAGTAGACATGTGGACCCAGACAATGCCAATAAAAAGCCCCCACAGCACAACAGAGCCACCAAACCACCTTATAGTAGGGGGCAAGTATCAGTGCTGTTCGCTTGGTGTACACTGTACATGCGCTCACCCACTTGTGGCGAATATAGTAAAGAATGACTTATCTGACCATTTTACTTTTTTCCACATCTCTGTGTGATTTTTTACACCACTGAACTCCCAAATGTGCCTTTGTCTTCATAAAGAGGGGTTTACACACTGCAACCATACCATATCTCTCTCTATGTAGTTGCCTGCCAGTCTTTATGACTGAAGTACCTTATATTCGTGCCTGTTTTTCTACTCATTTGCTCAGGTTTTCCCTGTCTGTGTATAAGATAAGGCCACTTGCCTTACTAGTTCAGACTTAAAACCCATTGTAGAGGATCTGCAGTCCCTTTGCTCTTTACTTGTGAGGCTTATTCTCTGCTACTTTATGCTGATTTGGAATATCCTGGGGCAACTGCAGACGAAAAGAGGGTCTCAGCAGTTAAAGTGTTAGCTTTATTATGTAGAACAAGTCAATTAGCACAGAATCCAGTACCTTTTCACTGTTATTGTTATTATGGAATGAGAGATTTCCTATCACCAGCTTTTTCAATATATATGTGGAATGCAAATGAATGCAAATAAAAATGCAGTGATTTGTAAATCCACTTTGAGCTGTATTTAAACATAAACAGTACAAAGATAATGAAAGTTTTACCTGATCAGCTTCATTGTTTTTTTGTAAATGTATGATCATTCTGAAACTGATGATTGCAACATGTTCCAAAAAGTTATGACTAGCAGTTTAAGCCTAGGAACATTGTGAAATGTTCAGAAAACAGGGTGATGCAGTAATGTTTGGATATAAAAGAAGCATTCAGGAAAGGCTTCATGGGCAAGGATGGGTCTACTGTGCATAATATCAAAAGACTCAAAAATCCGGCCAAATCTCTGTTCATAAAGGAGAAAGCCAGAGACCACACCTGGATGCTCATGGTCTTAAAAACCAGCATGCTTCTGTGATGGGTGCCACCGCACAGGCTTGGGAATACTACAGTAAATTGTTGTCAACACTGTTAGTCTCTGCATCCACAAATGCAAGTTAAGACTGTACTGTGCAGAATGGAAGCCAGATGTCAACAACATGCAGAAACACCACCAACCCTTCTAGTCTCAAGCTCATCTGAAGTGTACTGATGCACAGTGGAAATGTGTATTGTGGTCTGATGAGTCAGCTTCAACTTCTGTCAGACTGTTTATGGAAATAATGGACATCATATTCTTCCAGTCAAAGCAGAAAAGGACCATCTAAATCGTTACCAGCATAAGGCTCAAAAGCCAGGGTCTGTCATGATATGGGGGGTATTAGTGCACATGGCATGGGTAACTTGCATATCTGTAAAGGCACCATTAATGCTGAAAGATAAATACACGTTTTGCTGCCTTCTAGATGCCATCTTTTTCAGGAGCGCCCATATTTACTTCAGCATGACAGGGATAAGAAACATTCTACATGTGTTACAACAGCATGACTGCGTAATTGGAGAGTGCAGGTGCCGCCAGTCTAGATGTGTCTCCCATTGAAAACGTGTGGTGCATTACAAAGCACAAAATACACCAACGAAGTTGAATTCTGCTTTTAAAACTGGATATGTTGGTGTCTTCAGTTCCCAAATGATTATTAATTGCTGTTAAAAGGAAAGATGATGTAACACAGTGGTAAACATACTCCAGTCCCAGCTTTTTTGGCACATGTTGCAGTCTTCACGTTTGGAATGAGCATATATTTAAACAAAGTTCATAAAAAATCACTAAAACATCACATCTTGTTTTTGTACTGCCTTCAGCTTAATACAGGTCAAGCATAATTTACTAATCACTGCTTTCTTTTTTTTGTTTAGTAGCATTTCACATAATGTTTGAACTGTTTTTTAGAATTGCAGTTTGTATATATGGTCAAGCTTTGTTGTGCACTGGAGAAGAAGACATCATTTGAGAACATTTTCTCTTTCCTTTATTTCTTTTAACAGATTGGAGATATACAGATGAGGCCTGTGGAGCAAGTGTTTTGACTGACTGAGTGAATTCAGCACAGCTGTATGAACTGTAGGGGATTGAAGCTCTTACTTAAACATTGATATAGCTTAATTTATATACCAAGATTTGTATCCGTGAAACTGATTAAAAACACTAATACTACTACTAAAATAATAATAAGAGTAACATTTTAGTGAAATGCACCTGCAATCCAATAAATCATGTATTCAGCAGTTTTAAGCTTAATTTGCACTATTTCTGACTTTTATACCATAATTTGTATCAGTAAAACTGATTAAAGCAGCACTGTGCAAGAATTGTTTTTTTTTTGGGCTCCTCTTACAGTTGTGGAGTGTATTTCCCTTTTACACTATTGTTGTAAATATAAATCACACAGTGAGCTCCACTCATGTACAGCTGTACACATGCATTTGTTGATGAGCTGAAGGATACAGAATCCAACTCCCCTTCATGTGCATGCACCTCACGCAGGCATATGAACGCTACAGATTACACTCGTGATTTCAGTTGTTTCTAATTGTAAATAACAGAAATCGTGAGTATGATCTGTAGCGTCCATATGCCTGTGCGAGGCACATGCACCCAAAGGGGAGTCAGATTCTGGTGGTGAGACAGAATTCGGCACACCGGCAAAGACAACATCAGACGATAAAGATCCATGTTGACTTACAAGGTATAGAAATATTACAGGATTTCATTACAGGAGGTTGCAAACTTTCAAGGCTTATTTGGCGCGAGATCGACAAAGGCTGTCCAAAATTTTTGAGATGAGATATTAATTTATTTCTTTGCATGATACCCAAGACAGAAAAGACACAGATAAGGTTACAGTACATATTATGATCTTTCATAAATTATGTAGCCAGAGTTGCAACTTATCCTCTGCCGTTGGGTTTTCGTTGTTTTCCCGTTAGCCGTGAGACCGTGTTGCATCCTGTTAGCTCTGGATAAAAGCTAGTCTGAGATTTACTCCTGCTTGGTCACTCTGTTTTTCTCTTCCCCGCTTCTTCCGACATCGTCGTCGGTTTTGGCAGCCTCTGCCCTGATGTTCATGCTAGGAATATCCAGCTGCTTCTTATAGCTAGCTGTTTGTGTGTGATGTGGTTCTAGGGCTGGGCGATAAAATGCTAACAATAATTAGCGCGATATAACTTTCCTCAATAGAAATATAAGAAATGTTCGATAAATGTTCGATATAATAAACCATTCTCACACTACCACATTCTAGTGAGTGATGAGATAAGTGGTGAAACTGTACTGTCCTACAGCAAACTCACCTCTTTCTGTACATCCTAAACAGCTTTGGCAGCGTTAAATCACGTCTGCTCCTCATAACTAAAGCGCTGTTACAGTGCTCAGTCATATTTGAGTGTTAGTGCATTCCCAAGCGACGAAAGTGAAACAAAAAAGTCTGATCATGCAACTCACAGCCCTGATTTAAATGAAAGTAAACTGACGATCCTGTATGTGAGGCATTGAGAGTGAGAGAATGCTAGCTTCCCAGGCTAGCTGTTTTTAGCAGCTGGCTAACTTGAAGCAGTGCTCCGTCACTTGCACAGCACGGTGAATTGATGTTCCTGTAGATCAGACAGAAAAGCACCGATTTAAGTTTAAACGTACCTAAACCCAAGTTTCAGATATCTTGCGGTTCTTTCACCCCTCAAACTATTACGACAGATTAGAGAAATCCAGATATTTGCTAAGTGGTGTTTGAATACTGTGATCCATCATTGATGTTCATTTGATGTTTCGTTTGCTGTTCACTCTAAGCTGATGTTTTCTTTTTTGATGTTTTCATTCTAAGCTGATGTTTTTCTGTTTTCTTTTTAAATTATGAATATTATTATATAAATATACAAATTGCAGCCATGCCGTGCCAGCTGGGAAAAACAGCTAACTTTCTCCTGCTATCCCATGACAGGTTTGTGAAATGTTCTACTGTTTGGCAAGTGTTTGTCATGTTCTGACCATAAAGGATAGTTTAATAATAACCACCTAGGAGCGCAAATCAGCCTTTAAACTTTAAAGAAATAATGATTTGATTTTTGGCCATATCATCCAGCCCTACGTGGTGCCAGAAAGTGTTACGCAGTTCTTGCAAGAGGTCTCGTGCCAGCTTCTCTAAAGTTACATAGTGCTATAGCAGCCGTTCCAGGCCTGGAGTGGCATTGACAGAGATGCCATTCTCCGTATTATAAGTCACTGTACTATCAAAAGTATTTTTAAGCTTTTTGGATTTTGAATTTTAAGGTCAAATTGATACATAATGTTTTAAATATGCTAATCCTGATTGATTTGCGCTTTCCTATTTTTGATTAATAAAGCAATTGTGCTTACATATTGAAGTCATTTTAAGCTAATCTTGGTGCTGAAACATTGTGGAACAGTGGAAATAACAAACCCACATTAAACATTGTGGAACAGTGGAAATAACAAACCCACATTAAACATTGTGGAACAGTGGAAATAACAAACCCACATTAAAAAGGACTTTGAAGTAACCAAATAAAAAATACAAAGGCAGACTACATCAATGAGTCAGTTAAGGTTGAATGCCAATTAGCTTTATGTGTTACCTATAAAAAAAAGTCTGACAGAGTTGTATTCTTTCCAAAAGCGCTTACTTCTTTAATGAGTCAGTGACTCAGCACTGAGCTTTTGGCAGAGTTCATCAGAGCAACTGCTCTGTCCAGCAGCCATGTTGTCATGTGCTGTAACACAAACTTCACCCCAAGCCATCTTATAGCCTCAGTAGCCTCAGCAACTAAATGTCAAATGTTCAGTGTTTAGTGCACTTTTATTACAGCACCCAGAAACTCCGAGAGTGGAGCTTGATTTCTCCTCTCTCATTTGATGCGGACAGTTTTGGTGATCTGCCAGGTTATGAGTCCAATTTTTTCTGTCTTTTAATAGTTTTTTGAACTAAAAAATCCTCGGTGTCTCCTTCCTTATGCAAGTGGACCATTTTATTTCTGATTTCCTCAGTAATATCTTCTGAAAAATGAAAAACTTTTACTGAATGGCTGTTTTGACTGGAAATTAAGCCTGTCTCTTGCACAGTACTGTATATGTGAAAATACTCAAGATAATGTTGTGTAATTCTGTCCACCCCATGCAGTTATACAGCTATAAGTGCTGTTTATCTGATGTGACGGTTTTGATGGTCCATTAGGTCTTGAATATCACATTTTATCTATTTTAATAATTATGTTTTGCTCCAGTTTTAAAAACTGTTTTCACTTATTTTCTTTTTGCTATTCTCTTACTTACGCAAGTGGATCATCTTATATCTAATCTCCTCAGAATATCTCCTGAAAAATGAGATATAGTTGTTTTGACTGGAAACTAAATCACTGAAGGGTCACTGACTTTTGCACACTACTGTGTGCCAAGGGGGAACAGTGGTCACAGGGTCAAAGCTTACTGGCAGACATTAGCAAAGACTTAACAAGTGAACACCCAATCTGAATCAGATCCTTAATAATTACCCTTTGTGACTCAGCCTTAACACAATCTCTGCAAGGTCAACTTCACAAAGCTGGAATTTATAGTAAGGCCTCTAAGCCAGCGCACCATAATTTATTTCAAGAATCATCCACCCTCTATCCTACATCAAAATGTGTTTGGAGAAAGGCGGAGAAGGCCTTCAGTGGACAATGTGCGTTGCCAACTGTTAAGCATGAAGGTGGACTATTAAGAGTTTAGGCTGCCACCTTGTGGAGTAATTTGGTATGGATGGGTATTTAACTGAGAAAGAAAATCTAGTCCCTTTTCATGTGTCCATATTTCACTGACTTCATATAGATTAGTAAACAAATTCAAAAGTGCTTTCGTGAACACCAGGATGAAATCAAATGCTAATCACTAGATCTAAATATTGTACCTTTAAAAGAGAACTAAACAGCGTTTTCAAAATGTCTGGATAATTGAAGCAAAGGGATGTAAACAAAGTCTTTCAGAATGTTGTGATGTGAAATGGTCCATTGTAGATAAACTTCCTGACTCAAATTTGTCTACAGTGGTGGTGATGGGAACCAGGGGTTCGTAAATATTGGATTGACATTACATTTACTATCCAAAATGACCAGTGAACCTTCCTGTGTCTTTTGAGTTAATATGTAATACTGACGATGGTAAAACAGTAGTAAATCTGAAAAAAGAACTTTTCTTTGGGGACTGTTTTGCCTCAGAATGCCATTTCATACACTACAGTCATTCAAAGTGCTTTAAAGTGTGAACATAATTCAAATGAAACATTTAAAAAGACATAGGAGAACAGAAATGAAAGACATGATTATAAAGAATAGATTTAGAGAAGAGATTAAACACTACATTAAAACACAAAAATCTAATTAAAAATTGAATTGAAATGAAAATAGTGTTATTACAGAAGAGAAGTGCAGTAGAGCTAACAGTGTTTTAAACTGAGCTGAAAGCTGCTCAGCCCAGGGTTTTAAGGTGTCCAGTATCTGGGCTCTTCTAATGCTCTCTGTCAGCTGGTTCCATTTAAGAGCAGCATATTATCTAAACGCTGCTTCTCCATGTTTAGTCTTTACCTTCAGCAGGACTAACTGATTAGTTCCTAATGATCTGAGAGTTCTGCTCGGCTCAGGTCTCATCGCTGCAGCATATGAGATAAATAACCTGGTCCAACACCATTAAGCTATTTATAGACAAGTAATAGTACCTCAAAGTGTTTTCTGTAACTGGTTGCCAGTCCTGGTGTAAGGATTTATGAATGGGGGTGATGTGTTCCCTTCTTTTTGCTAGTGAGAACTCTGGCCACATTTAGCTAGCTGCTAGATACATAACTTCATTAATCCCAGAGGGAAAGTCATCTATTACAGCAGCACAAACTACAGCAAAACATACTAAAGAGCAAAAGTATGGCTATATGTTATTATTCACATGCATAAATAGAAGAAGTAAACATGTATAATAAAACATACTAAAACAACCATAAAATATAATGTACAGTACAAACACAACTAAGTAAAATTGCATAAATATTATGCAGGAGACAATGCAGTGGTGTGCCACGTCCACCGAATGAACCAAGAGGCTTTTGAATCACAGACTATTACAGTAATCAACCCTGTTAGAAATAAAGACATGGATGGGTTTCTCTAGTCAGAAGGTCTATAATCCTGATGCTCTTAAGGTGATAAAATGCTGATTTGTTTTTTCATGCTTTGACATGACTACTATAACTGATCAGAGTCCATTAGTGCACCAAGGTTACGTCTAGGTCTTTAAATTTTAGGGCTCTGGAATCCAGATAGG